ATTAACATAAAAAATAAGAAAGACCATCTTTTAGAGAATCAATTAAATTAAACCAAATTGAAACAAAAGTAAGAGTTAATACAAACAATAAAGAAATAAGAAAAATAGAAAAAATGTTTCAAATTTGGGGTCCTTGCACAAATTCCATACCTATCCTATATCTAAAAAGAGGGCTTGCTGATATTACAGAGGAACTTTTGCATATAGCCACTCAGAAATAGCCTAATTACTCTTCATAGCTATAGTTTGATAATTACAATTTGTGGCTACATGTTATAGGGAGGAGATAGGCAAGTGAGATTGGGAGAGAGAGGAGAGGGCAGAGAGTGGGAGAGAGGTGAATTATATATGTATATCGGTTAGATAATTATATATTATACATATGTATTTGTATATATGGCCAGCGAGATTGGGAGAGGGAGGAGAGAGGCGAGCGAGAGAGAGCAGAGAGTGGAAGAGATGTGAATTGTATATGTATATCGGTTAGATAATTATATATTATACATATGCATTTGTATATATGGCAAACGAGATTGGGAGAGAGAGGAGAAAGGCAAGCGAGATTGGGAGAGGGAGGAGAGAGACGAGCAAGAGAGGGCAATAATTTGTATAATTCGCATCTCATTTGTATAATTCATGGCTACGTTTGTATAATTCGTATATTTTTGTATAATTGAGTAATATAAATTCTGAAATTATACAAATATGATAAAACTTGAAATAACAAATTGATACAAACATAAACATATGAATTTTAAACAGTTATACAAAATATATTATACAAATTAATTATATAAATTATATTATACAAAATTTGAAAACTACACGTTTATACAAACTTTAAAAAGTTATACTCAAAAAGATTGAATGTATATGGTGACAAAACTGAAAAACCAAAGGAAATCATCGTCATATACAAATATAAACCATCGTATACAAATACAAATCAAAAGAAGAATTGCTAGTTGCGAATTATAGAAATGTGACAAATTATACAAATGTGGCTAATTATACAACTCGAAGTCAGCCATGTAATTAATGGTTAATGTTAGTCGCGAGTGATAATTATAACAAACTATAGCTATAATGAGTAATTAAGTAGTATAAGTTTGCTTAACCATGTAATTTTCCCGATCTTAAATGGATTTCAGCCCATTGAATTCTTACTGGACTTGTTGCGATTGTATTTGGGCTTTGGCTCATTTTCGCCCCTGAAAAGTTGTGTATACACTGACCGTATACCATGGAATATGGATTCTATATTGACCAATTTTCCTGTATATCAGACTGTATATTAAGTGTATACATCCCACTTCAGCTTCCACAACCTGTAATTTTGTTTTCAGTCTGGCATTTGATGCGTTTCAACCTGTATATCATGTATAGTAAGCGTATATGGGCTGTATATCAGCCTGTTTTCACCTCAAACACCTGTTTATGATGTATACTTAATGTATACAATCCATTTTTGGACTTTTTAGAGTTGTAAGTCTGCCTTTGACCCTCTAAACCTGCTTCCCACTCAAAATTTGCATATTTGCTGCCAATTGATGCAGTAGACTCGAAGAAAAAGACTTCGGCCTCTATGGCCCAATCATCAAAAATGCAAAAAGAAAAAAGTCCACTAGATTAAAGAAGGGGTTCACATGCAACAAAAAGGGTAATAAGGAATTAGAATTATTGCTATAATCAATATTTAAATGAAACGTCAATGAACTGTATATTAATGCTAAGATCTAAGATACAAGACAAAAATGATATCACTGAATAAATAAACAAACCGATTAAAGAAATTTACTACATCTCATGGAAAGCAAGTATGTACAAAACATATTCTTTAATAAAAGAAGTTATCTGATGATTGTAACAAAGTCACATGCCAAGAATTAAAGAAAGTTATGACTCCAAAATATGTATCTTAGAGACAATAGATGACGACACCAATTTTAAATAAGTTAGAAATAAAACAAGCCAAACATAGCACTAAGGAGTTATTTCTTGAGTAATTTTAAAATACCAATAAGGGGATGACCATATTTTATTCAAATATATAACATTCAAGAAAAGCCATCAGTGAGCAAGAAAACAAAGTTGGGGTTATACACACTATAAACTGCCCACTCCAAATAAGCAATGATAATCATACTCTATTGCCACTTTAAGGGAGGGATGCGGTACACCAATTATTGCATAGCAATGAAAATGCACAAGACCATCAAATCAAAATTTATTAAAGTTGATTTTTTTGAAACTTATCGCTTTATTTTTATTATTTTTTCAGCAATATCATTTGAAATTTTTGGAAATATTCTTGTCGATAAAGTTGTGATGGAACAAGGAATTACACAATAATAATCAAATCTAGTTGCAATTCAAATAGTTGCTCCACCACCTCATGAAAATGTTAAACCAGTTGTGAACCTTGACCCCCTCAGTATGATGAAACGTTTGATTTTATTTGAGTGTCTCCATTTTTTTGGTTCAATATAACACTAAGCAAATATATGATTAATAGTTGTAAAATATAAATCTTTATTGATGAAATTCATCTCCTTTTGCATTAAAATTCTCCACATTTGTTTGTGCATTTCATTAGTCGAGGTGGTAGATCACTTCCTGTGACTATGTTGTCCACGCTTCGCACCTAGATTTGTTATTTTCTCAAAGGGAGACAACTATTTTTTTCTTGTATTGGTTAGGTGTAAGCAAACAATTTATATAAGATGAAAGTATTACTATGAGATACATGTAATGTCTTGAACAAGATACATCTGGAATTGAGACACATTTCATTTGTTATCAAATTATGAGGTGTATTAGTTCGAATGGTTATTCTGTCAATTTTATTGGTTAGGGAACGTTGAGTCTAGGTTAGTATGGTGTATTAGTTCGGGTTTTGAGATTATATTGTGTAGAATTAGCAGTAAATTTAATTTCTAAAAGAAGTCTCAAGGTGTAATTTTGAGTAAAATATCTTCTTTTAGAAATTCAATGATTTCATTGGCTCTGAAACATGTTTTATGATCGATTTAACTATTGAATTATGTGTAAAGATTTCCGAATGAAAGGGTCAAATCAAGTTTTCTTACAATTGATGCTTTTCTTGACCCGTTATTTCGTTGGTAACTATGTTTATCACGAGAATTCTTCCTAATTTCAACACTTGAAAGTAGGGGTGTGCACTATTTGGATTAAATCGAAAAACCAAATCAAATCAAACTGAATTCTAATTTGGATTTTTGGTTTGGTTTTGGATTTATAATTTACTTTGTTTGGTTTTTTGGTTTGGTTTCGGATTTAGAAAAATGAAAATTGAAAAACCGAGAAAACTGAATTATATATACATATATATATATATATATATATAGAGAGAGAGAGAGAGAGATAAAAAATTAAGTTGGAGTTAACCACTTTTGTCCCTTTTTAGTTATTTTCATTATGATTTAGTTTTTTTTTTTAATGTTTGGACATCTATAATTGATATAATTTTAAGTATTGTGTTTTACGTTTTACTTGTGATTTATATTAAAAAGTATATTTAAGAAATTCAATATTATATATATATATATATTTTATTAAAATTGCAAATATAACTTTGTTATGTTTCTAATTATTGATATAAACGATTAATCAAACCGAAAAAATCCAAACCAAAAAGAGAAAAACCAAATCAAACCAAATTTATTTTGGTTCGGATTGGGTTACACTTCTTCAAAACCAAAAACCAAAAAATCCAAACCGAAAAACCGAATGCACACCCCTACTTGAAAGCTCAGGAGAGAGATTTTGGGAGATATTTCTTGAGGGAATTCATGTGGGTAAGTTCCTAACTCAATTTTCAATCATTTCCTACCAATTTTATTTTCAAAAGAGGGAATTTTTCCTCCAAATTGAAATTTGAGACTCAATTCTCACTCGATTTTGGTTGAGTTTTCACCCACAAACTCCTTGTCACCTGAGAATTATGTTTTTCAAATAAAATTCCGTTTCCCCCTTTTCTATTTTGAAGAGATCTTTTAGGATTTTAAATCTTAGTAATATGGACATATATCGTTGGAACCCTTTTGATGGGTCATTTCCATTCTTAATTAACAGGGCACCATAACCTCTAATTGCTATTTAGGGAACAAAATTCCTTTATTTATCTCCTTAATAAATCTTCATAGGGCGTAACATCCCTTAAATTTCATTTAGGGCACAACTTTTTATTTTTATTTTTATTTTTCTCCTTTTTAAATCTTCATAGGATACGATATCTCCTAATTGTTATTTCTAAGGAACAAAACTCCCTATTTTTCTCATTTCTAAATGTTTACAGGATATGAGATTCCTTAGTTAATTTCTATTTAGGGGGCAAAATATCTTATATTTATCTTTTCTAAATTTTCACAAGGTACGACATTCCCCCCGGAACACAATTTCCTATTTTTCTTCTTTCTAAATCTTCATAGAGTACGATATCCCCTAATTTTCATTTATGGTACAAACTTCTATATTTTTTTCTTTTCTAAATGTTCACGAGGTACGACATTCCTTGATCGCGAACAAATTAAAACTCCTTATTTTTCTCCTTTCTAAATCTTCATAGAAAGACGTTAATTAATTATTATTTTTTCAAATTACTAATCCCAATTTAATGAACTCTTACTTGTAGTCTTTTTTACGTGTAAGATAACAAAATTTTAAACTCATAAAATAATCTAAGGATATTCATAACTCCACTATCATTTGCATTACTTGAAGCTTTGTCCATCTCCCAATGATTAAAAAGCAAAATAAACAAATTCTACTACTTATATTCAAAGCTCAAACTAATATAATATATGTTACTTAGAAGCAACAACTCACTCTCTCCATCTATAAATTCTACAAAATCCATGCCACTTCCCAAAAACATAATCCCCACAATTACAAAACAATAAACAACTCAGCTTTTTCAAGTTCAAGTTTCGCTTGCTGCTTTTCATTTTCAACTCAGCTTTTTTCAAGTTCAAGTTCCGCTTGCTGCTTTTCATTTTGATAAGAGTAAGTGCTTGTAGCTTGCTCGCTCTCCTAGGAAATGGCAAAACCTAGCTATACCTTGAAGGACAAGACCTTAAATGGCCTAGGCAATCTCATAAGACTCCTCCCAACAGGAACAGTCTTCATATACCAATTCCTAAACCCTATTCTCACAAACAATGGTCATTGCACTATCATCAACAAGTACCTATCAGGCATCCTCATTGCCCTTTGTGGTTTATCTTGTGGATTTTCTTGTTTCACCGATAGCTACACCGATAACGAGGGCACGACCCATTATGGCATAGCCACAATGAAGGGGCTTTGGCCAACATCTAAATCGATGGACACAAGTTCATACAAAATTAGTGTAGGTGACTTTGTGCATGCATTTTTTACCATAGTTGTTTTTGGTGTTGTGACTATTTTGGACAGAAATACGGTGGATTGTTTCTTTCCGACGTTCGAATCGACGGAAAAGATGTTGATTATGGTGTTGCCACCGGTTGTTGGTGCAATTTCTAGTGTTGTGTTTATGGTGTTTCCTAATAAACGTCATGGTATAGGGTACCCTTCCAACTAATAGTCAAGATAACTAAAATGGAGTTATCTTGAGTTTAAAATATTTTATACTAATGATTTGATTGAGTTTTGTGTTTTGAGAAAGGTTTTTTTTTTTTGGTTGATTTATTTTATTTTATACTAAGGTGTGTATATGATGTAAATCACAAGAAATGAATAATATTATAAGATTTGGGGTTTTAAATTTATTACTTTGTTGGTTATACAATGAGCTTATGATCTTGGAAGTGTTTTGAGTTGTTTATTATTTTTTTTAATGTTCAATCGTGCTATATTCTAGCAAACATCATTACATCACATTTGAAGTGTGTTTTACTAAATTGATTTTATTAATGATGTTTTGAAACTCTAAATTTGACTATTTTTATGTAGTTATTTAATACTAAAGATAAAAAAAAGGGAAAACTAATTTTTATTTAGTTATTTTTGATGTCATAAATTGAACAAGTAAGTCGAAACAACTATATTTAGTATTGGGGTTAAGTAATATAAAACAGAGAAAGTAGCTTAAAGATTAAGCTCACTTTAACGAACTAACTACCTCTCTACTAACTAACTAACAAAGTACCATCGAAATAACTATATTTAGTATTGGGATCAAGTAATAATTAACGATAAGCTTATGCACATATATATAAGATCGAGTACAAGGTACAACTCAATAAAGAAGTTCGTAATTTCAACATGATCATAATTCCTTCTTTCATATAACTTTTCAATATCACGTTCTTATAGTAATGTTGATATAAACTTAGATTTTAATATTACGTATTCGTATAAAACATGTATATTTCCATAATTTGTCACGTATGAATAATGAATTTTAGCATTGCTCAAGTATAAATTAAATTCTGTTAGTAAAATTTATGAAGGAAGCATGAAAACCAAAATAAATCAGAACATCTAATTCAGCAGCTTCCCAATACTTAGCTTATTCTTTCTAATTTGTATTTTCCTCGTTCACTTTTATTTGTCATATTTCATTTTATGAGAGTTAATTTGACTGATCTTCGAATCTAAACTGAATTTAATTAATTTATTATTCAAATTTTAAACTAAAATTGCAATCCTTCTCATATTAATATGATGAAAAAAAATATTTATATCTTAAAATATTGATCAAAATCTATACGATTTGATTCTCGAACAACAAAATATCACAAGTAAAAATGAACGAGGGAGTATAGTATTAAATTTCTTTAGAAGGTAGTATATGTTATTGAAATGGGAATAGAGATACCTGGAAGCAAGAGTAAGCTATTGCTTTGCTTCCCCGTAATTAAAGTGACATATATAATCATAATATCATCATGACATATATACTCAGATTCCTAATTAAATCCATCATTAGCTAATAACAGAAAATTTCATTTGTAACGATTAATTTGATATGATCATATTTTTTTCTTCTCAGCTTATTTTATTCTTATTAGCCCCAAAATTTGAGGAACCTCATTTAAAATAATAATAATAGGTCATAAGTATTTTTTTGAAAAAATATCAAGTATTACTTGCAGAAAATAAAAAAAATTCATAAAAGAGCAAAGAAGTAATAGAAGTTCGACAAATTATGAATACTATGTCTCAAGAAAAATTAAATAATTGGCTATAATAAACTTTATAAAAAATATATATTCGAATTTAAGGCCTCCATTCGGATTTGACTTTAGGCCATCGATTTATTAGAGCCGCTCCCAGTAGTTCTACCCCATATCCTATTTTTCTTATAGGTTTATTCTTCAAATTGATGATGTCTAACGTTATGTAACGACAGAAAAATATACAATCTACCTAAACGTTGTATCTATTAAAATGATACAGTGCGACACAATATAATACGATATATTATGAAATAATAGAGAGCGTAAACCTTGAGAACTACTTTCTAGTTGTTGAAATATCTGTGTAACAATTTTCTGACTTTAGTAAACATTTTGTAGCATCAGCATGATCTAATTAAGTGCAAGCGTCACACAATTTTAATTTTTAGGAACCACACCACATTACTTGTACGTATTCCAACAAGTTTTTTTCCGGTAGTTGCACCAACGATTAATTATAGACTAATATTTACCAACAAGGGTGGTAGTGGATTGGTAAGTATATCTTCATTCTTATCTAAGAGGTCTTAGGTTCGAATTTCCTTGAGCACGGAGTTGGGATTGTTTGGGAGTGTTTTATCCCCAATATGAGACTTTCCGGCATGAATTCAGATCTAGTAGGACTCCAATGTGGATAATAGACACCGAAGAAAAAATAATTAAATTTTAGACTAATATTTGAATGTAATCATTCTTCAAATTGTATCATCTTAAATTAGAGTTTCTAAAGGATTCAAAATTAATTGGTTTATTACGTGTAAAATAATGCTGTTGTGGACATTTCTTTCTCATGCCCCAGAAATTTTAAAGAGTAAAGCAAAGAATTGGAAGATGATGTTTAACATCACGTCAGATATTGATCTAATTAGCTTCTGAATCCTGATATGTAATAACTCGATAAGATATGTAATTATTGAAACTATCAAGTGATTAGCATCTATATTAGTATACTTTATGAAATTTGTCTATTTTTTCTATATTTTTATGGGTTGAAAATTGGGTGAAGCTCATATTTACCCAATTAAAATATAAGTTATCTAACTCAATAAAATATGGATTAAATTGATTGATATTGTGAATATGGGCTCAAAATTGTCAGTTCTAATCACCATATGTTGGACTAATAATATTCGTTCAATTGCAAACTATAGTTGAGTACCAAATGACTTGTATTTTAAAGCCAATTAGATATTCTGCAAACAATAGATTTAAACACTTTTAGCCAATTATTGAATTAAGAGCTAGAAAACTATTTAAAGGAGGAACTTATTATGAGGAGAATTTTGATGATTCAATAAAAATGGTAACTAGTTCCAACAAAAAAGAGATAATCCAGTGGTTTGTACTTGGGACTTCCATGTTGGAGGTCTCAAGTTTGAAACCCCTTGCCAGCGAAAGCAAGGGGTTTGCCTTCTGGGTCGAGCTCGTCGTACGAGGCTTGCCTAGTGCGAGTTACCTCTCCTATGTGGTTTGCGAGCTATTGCATAGGAGCGGGGGCTTTACCCTGTGCGCACCCAAAGAGTAGCGACTGCGGGTTTCCCTTGTCATATATAAAAATAAAAAAGAGATAACTTACATCTGCAATATCATGACTTTCCCTCACTATTTTAAACTCTACATGTAATAGAAGTGTTATAATTAGTCACAAAGAAAGGAAACAAAATAATGTATACACCACCACAAGGAAGAAAATGAACTAACAAGTAATAACCATATATAGTTGCTAATTGCTCACTTGTCAAATCCCTCTTGAAGAACAAGAACTTGTCATCCTCTCAACTTTCTGTTTCACTTTCTTCTGTTTCCTACTATTCTTCCTACCTCTGCTTGCTGCTTTCATGATGTCCACCTTAACTATATGGTGATCGGACGTGCCTTTAGATGAAAAAACCGAGTATGATCCAGGTACAAATGCATAAGGAAGGCCTTGCGATCCCAAAATATAATCAACTCGAGTTCCATATTTACATGTTCCTTGCACATCTGTGTCAAAATGACAAAGAACATGATTGAGAAATGTTGTTAGCAACTCATATAATGGTTACAAGTAAGATTGGGAGAGATTTCATAGGAAATTTTGAGATAAAGATTCATACTTTGGCCTTTAGCAATGATAACAACTGATTCACATTCCCCTGCAAACTCTTTTGCATCATTGTACTCTTTCTGTTTCAAGAAATTCATTACTTCAACTCTTGGAGTTGGTTTTCCTATCTCCTCATAATACTGCCATCATGACATTGTGTGATCAAGAAATTGATAAAAAAGGATACTACTAATCCAAGAAAAAGTTGTACTTATAAGACTCGGTTTTCTTCTTACCTTTACGATATCATTCCATCTCTCTAATGAGTAATCTGAGGCTTCAAGAGAATTTATGCCTCCTGCTAAAATATGAGGACTGTCATTTGATTGTATTATTGCATTTATTTGCTTCATTCTCCAATTCTCATCTAAATGATCAAGTTGAGTGCAACAGAAGTTCAACTCTCCCATCCGGGGTACATCAACCGTAGTCTTAAGCACATTTCTGCATCAAACCAAAACACCAGTTATATAAGGAGCAATTTTCAAGTTAAAAGCTTTGCCAAATAGTAGTGTTTCTATTTCTAATAGCTTAAACGTTTAGATAACAAAGAGCATATGATTCTATGAACATAGATATAGTCAACATAAGTGTTAACAGAAGGAGACACCTGAAATCTTTATCATCATAGATTTTCTGGATTCTCCATTTCTTAATAGGCCATTTGGATAAAATAGCATTACCAAATTCAGGAGCCCAGCTTTCAGCAAACACATAGTTCATCCCAAGAGCACGAGCTAAATCAGATAAAGGGCTCATATCTTTCTCTTCCTCAGCCTTCACATCTTGTAAAGCCAATATATCAGCATCCACTTCTTTCAGCACATCAAGAATGGTCCTTGTTCCACTCAAGCAGCACCCTCCGTAATCATTAATCATCCAATTAGCCATCGCGGGGAAGCATATCGGAGACCTCACAGGGCCTAGGCTGTTGTTGTTTAAACTCAAAATCTTGGTGGAATCATCTTCCAAGATTCCAAGTACCCTATTCTGAGCTAATGAAATCTCATTCTCAGGAAGGTTGATAGAAACTTTTTGCTTTGGTTTTGCTCCATTTGTTAATATAGGATGAAGAGGGGAATGCTTCAATATGCTCTTAGGACGATTATTCTTGGACTTTACCTGGTTTTGAAATTTAAAACTGTCATCATTGTCATCATCATGAGAAAAGACGGATGATTTTTCAGGCTTAGGCACAGCAGGTGCAAGGGAAAACAATGCAGCATTGAAGGAGGCTAGTCGAATAGTTCTACTCTGTCCATTTGGATGAGTTGATGATGATTTGAAACTTAGTTTTTCTTTGAGCTGACCATGACTTCCTCTTGAACTCAGCTTCCCAAACCTCTTGATCACCACCTTAGTCCTTGGATGACGCCACATCAGCCATCGCATCCTCGAGCAAAGCCGGTGAATTCTCCGTCTGAAGAAATGAAACATGCAGGAAAACTGTTTTCTGCATGAAAGCTGCACTGGAACCTCTGTTGACTGCATGGAAGTTCTCTGCAACTAAGTTTTAGCTAAACTAGATGGATATTAATGA